CCCTATGCATTTTTTAGCATAGTAATCTCTCATCGCAGTTGTCGGGATTCGAACTCAGGACTTAACCCTTGTGGCACTCCCTCGCTACCAGTTGAGCTACGCCCACCGGTTGATTAAGTTCCTTTCTTTATTTACTAATTTTGTGGGATTCGAGGTGTGCTCAGAAAGGCTAGACGGTCCCATCACTTGTAAGGATGAGATTTTCCTCGTCTAATATAAGTAGCAGTCTGTGGTCTTCCTTGTCTTCGTCGGGGAAACGTCTTCTTTTGTTCATGAGGAAGGCGTGCCTCATTAAAAACTCACTAGGAAAAACCCTACTAAGAAAAAATCATAGTGAAGGAAAAAGAGTACTCTGGTGCCCCAAAATAAAGCAAAGGAAAAAGAGTACATTGATCAGCCTTTTGCTTTGATCCCTACTGCTTGCGAAAGGAACGGGGTACACAAAGTTCTCCATCAGATTTGTCAATTGGGCCGACGATCTTCAAATATGGGCCTTGATCTTCACATGCGTATATTAACCTCTTAGATTGGAAAAATACTCATCTAATTGCACTCCTCCTAGACTTAGCCTTTCTTTAAAATCTAATCGGTCTAGCTGGGCCGGTCTTCTATTCCCTTATAAAATTTAAACAGTTGAGAGCTACTTTTTCTTATTCTTATATTAACCTTGCTCCATTAATTTCAAAGCATATGGAAAAGCCATAATTTGAAGAAAAAAAATCAGCACTGGCAGATTAGCTTTTCTCTGGGACACTCAACGCGCTTTCCTTCCTCAGCATGGCGCCACCGAAACCGCATAGTACGAGCCAACACAGAAGACTTAGTCTATCGCCAACACGTTCGCAGAAGAGTAGTTATGCATTCACATCTGGTCGGGCCGCGAGCCCCTCGCCATCGTTGCCACTCAAATCCTACCGTCAGAGGGAGAGGCACATCTGAGGTATGAGTTCCCCAAGGGGATTCTTCATTCAACCAGGCCTAGTCGGAACGCCAGTACATTGTTCAGAAAAACCTCATTCTCAACTAGAATGTGATCCTAAACAGCAAATTTTTTCAATCACATTGACAAATGAAGAGGAAATGCAAAAGGAGATCCAGAATCCAGAAGAAGTAGAGGAAGAAAAAGACACGGAGCTCCAACTGGTCAAAAAAGAGGATAATCTGAGTTTCAAGGTCAAATATCTATCCTTGTCATCGTTTGAGGTACCCCCATCAATTCTAAAAATTTTGAGGGAAACTCATAAACTTGGAAAGGACAATGACATTTCTGAAATCCTCTTCAAAATTGAGGGATCGAAAAACTTTTCATTGACCATAGTAATCGATAATTTCTTCCCTTTCCTCCCACCGCATGAATCAATGACAATCTGGATATTAGATCCTGGAAAGATTCCCAAATTGAAGGGTCGAGAAGTTGAGCACTCCTATGAACGTCCTAGGAGTGAAAGTGTGAAAAAGATAAACTATCATGATCCAAGTTTGAATGACTGAACACAATGATGGCGTCGTGCCGCGACGTTAAACGAGGCGCTTCTTGGGAGGCAACCCAAGCAAAGGTACATATTCTTTTCTCCCTTGTAGTTTTCATTTCAAAAAAAAAATACCAGGGGCACCATACCCGATCGGGTGTCACGTACTACCCGGTCGGGTATAAACACAAATATAAAGGGTGAAGCTCGGGTAACCAAATACTCGATCGACTCAGGGGTTGAAAATTATGAAGTACCCGATCGGGCAGCTCCATATACCCGGTCGGGTATGTTAATTTTTTTTAGGAGTATGTTCGCACCAAGATGCCCGATCGAGTATACCCCAACCCGATCGGGTAGGACCCCGGATTTTGAAGAAACACAGGCATACCCGATCGGGTATGTCAGGGTACCCGGTCGGGTACACGGTCTTTAAACCCGAATTAGCCACCCAAAACACCCATTTCATCTTCCCCAAACCTCCAATTTCGAAGTTTCTTTCTCCCATTACTCCATCGAATCTCCTCCAAATCTTTTCAAACCAACGCCAAAATATTCACCACATTTCCCTCTACACCCCATATCCATCAACACCACATTTTCCCCCAAAAAACTCAAGTCCAAAAATAATGCCTTACGCCCTCCCCCAAGTCCGAAATTTGTAACTCAAAATTCAAAGCATCAAGCGAAAATGGCACCAAAGAGAACAAGGGGCGAGAGTATTTCATTTAGAGCACCGGTCAGCCCGGTTATGATGGAGACAAGCACGAGGGACAGTGCTTCGAGCAAAGTGAGGGGGAGTCACTCATCGGTGCATACTTAAGTTTGATACCTTGTAAACTCGCATTATTTTCTTCGCAAAAAAAATTGAAATGCTAGTTAGGTTGAAAACCCAAAAAATGGGCAATCTAAGCAAAAAAGGCTTACAAAAAAAAATGATGAGTGAGTGGAGAGGTGGAAAAATAAAAGAGATGCTAGGATGAAAACCATAAAAGGCTCCTAGGCAAAATGAGAGATATGAGAGATATATATTTTTTTTACATGACATCATTTAATCTCTTGAAGATGAAAAGAGGAGATGAACATAGAAGGCCATGAAACCCAAGAAGATATTATTCTTTGAGCTAAATACTCAATGTAAAACTCATATGTTATCCTGGTGGTCTTTTGCTTTTTCTGGTTGATTGTTGAACTTTTGAGGACTTGGAACGGTTAAACATTTGACTTTACTCGAGGACGAGTAAAGAAGCTAAGTGTGGGGGAGTTGATATTCATGTAATTTCCGATTGTATGTTTGTATTTTTAACTAGTTTTTATTAGTTCTAGTTGAGGAAATTACACACTTTTGGTGTAATACTTTATTTTCACATTTATTTGTAATTTGTTTAGATTAGGACTTTTCTGAGCTAAACAGGTCAAAGATCATCCAAGGGATCAAGATTGGACCTTAAAAGATCAAGGAAAGTGCAAGGAGGCAAGAAAGATTTTGATTTGGAAAAAATACTCATGTACCTGGTCGGGTATTGCCTATACCCGATCGGGTATTTGCTTGATTCGATTGTCCAAATCAAATCCGGGAACAAATGATCGTGGGAGCAAGATTTCGTTAAGATTTGTCGGCATACCCGATCGGGTATGCCTAGAAAAGTGACTTTCTGGGAAATTTCCTAAGATACCCGGTCGGGTATCAGCCCCTGCAGCTCCCAAAAGCCTATAAATACACCCCTTTCCTTCACAATAAAATATCCAATTCCTTTGTACATCTAAGCTCAGTATAGAATATCTCTTTCTTTATATTTTTCATCATGTTTAGTCTCCAAATGAGGAGCTAAACTCTTCCATCTTGGTTTTGCTACTTTGAAGCTTAATGAATTTGTAAGTTGTGAGTTATTTTCTTTAATCTTCTTCCTTGAATATTAATTAATTCCTATTCATATTTCATATTAATATTTTAAACATTACTTAAAGTATCAACTAGTTTTGTTTCTCATATTAATTATTACTAGAATCAATCGGTTAATACGCTTGTTATTAATCCGGTCCTTTCAACAGTAGTAAACTTGGAATATTAATGCATGCATCTCATGGTTAATATGTCAAGGGGAATTAATTATATTGATTAAACCAATAAACTGCTTGTGTTGAGGTTATCAATCTCAATCGTTTTCATCTTAAGTTTTTTGCTACTATCAAGTTAATATACGTCGCTTGTCTATATTGACTCGATAGTAAGTTTTATTAATGAACGCATCTCGTTATTAATAACTACCCTCGATGAACTGGATATACTCCTCGATTGAGTATTCGATAGGAAGATAGTTAAAGATATAACCGGGATCGACGAACATTTCATTATGTGGATAAAAGCAAAACCAAGTCCTCATCTCATTGAATTAAACTCATATAGGTCGTTTATCTTAGTGTTTTTAAACCAAACAAATCTAAACCCCCATTTGTTGCTACTTATATAAAAGAAAAGTATTCCTTTCCCTGTGGATACGAACCTTACTACACTATACTACGTATTAGTGTTGTATTGATTAATTATTTTGAGTGCACCTCACGACAAGTGCACGTCACCAACATTAATCTCAGAGTTTTGTATTTTATAACAGGTGCAAAGATATCTTGGTAATCAATTCCTTCCTTCTGTCTAAAACCCTTGGCTACAAGCCTGGCTTTAAACTTAGGATGTTCAGTAGGATCAAGACTATCTTTTAACCTAAAAATCCACCTACAGTCAATTATTTTTGCATTTTTAGGCTTAGGAACTAAAATCCAAGTCTTATTAGAGTACATGGACTGAAGTTCTACCTGCATGGCTTTCATCCACTCATTAGACTTAGAACACTTCATAGCTTGTTCAAAACTATCAGGAGCAAACTGTTTAACTACCTCAGAAGCAACCTACACAAATTCAGCAAGATTAGAGATATCTTTTATTAGGAATAATAGCTCTAGGTTCTCTATCTCTAAACAGTTGATAATCATCTAAATTTGGTGTATCATGATTATCAGTGTCATCATTGTTATCAGGCACATTATTTGTAACAGTAGTGTCAGTCAGATCATGCACAAAAGGAGTATGAGAACCAGAAAGACTACCTTGTGACAGATAGAAAGTGAGGCTCCATCCCCGGTACTTGCAAAAGCCCTATGCATTTTTTAGCATAGTAACCTCTCATCGCAGTTGTCGGGATTCGAACTCAGGACTTAACCCTTGTGGCACTCCTTCGCTACCAGTTGAGCTACGCCCACCGGTTGATTAAGTTCCTTTCTTTATTTACTAATTTTGTGGGATTCGAGGTGTGCTCAGAAAGGCTAGATGATCCCATCACTTGTAAGGATGAGATTTTGTGGCAGTCTGTGGTTTTCCTTGTCTTCGTCGGGGAAACGTCTTCCTTTGTTCATGAGGAAGGCGTGCCTCATTAAAAACTCACTAGGAAAAACCCTACTAAGAAAAAACCATAGTGAAGGAAAAAGAGTACTCTGGTGCCCCAAAATAAAGCAAAGGAAAAAGAGTACATTGATCAGCTGTTTGCTTTGATCCCTACTGCTTGCGAAAGGAACGGGGTACACAAGGTTCTCCATAAGATTTGTCAATTGGGCCGACGATCTTCAAATATGGGCCTTGATCTTCACATGCGTATATTAACCTCTTAGATTGGAAAAATACTCATCTAATTGCACTCCTCCTAGACTTAGCCTTTCTTTAAAATCTAATCGGTCTAGCTGGGCCGGTCTTCTATTCCCTTATAAAATTTAAACAGTTGAGAGCTACTTTTTCTTATTCTTATATTAACCTTGCTCCATTAATTTCAAAGCATATGGAAAAGCCATAATTTGAAAAAAAAAAATCAGCACTAGCAGATTAGCTTTTCTCTGGGACACTCAACGCGCTTTTCTTCCTCAGCATGGCGCCACCGAAACCGCATAGTACGAGCCAACACAGAAGACTTAGTCTGTCGCCAACACGTTCGCAGAAGAGTAGTTATGCATTCACATCTGGTCGGGCCGCGAGCCCCTCGCCATCGTTGCCACTCAAATCCTACCGTCAGAGGGAGAGGCACATCTGAGGTATGAGTTCCCCAAGGGGATTCTTCATTCAACCAGGCCTAGTCGGAACGCCAGTACATTGTTCAAATCTCCTCGACCAAGCCACCAGGAACCCAGGTGCAGCCATAGGCACCGAGAAGAGAACCTTGTAGGAGCCGTCACCGGAGGACTCCCTGGCCCGCTTGGCCAACCTTCACGCCATCTAGAGAAACTGGTTATGGGTTCATCTGCTGATGCTGGCTCCTCAGGAAATGGGCGTCATCATCCACATGGCGGCAAAACCAGGGTGGCCCGATTGCATACAAACAGGTGTGACCAGAACCCTAGGTCACCCTTCTCAACTTCGCACGATGGAGACCATGAGGCGGCCATGTCCCGCTGTTTTAGGTATCCCCCTCACGAAGGCAGCACTGCTAGGTCGGAGCTAGCCGGAAGAGACACATGTCACTGTGATGTTGACGTGCCTACAAGAGAAGATCTACAAATGGTGGGACCCTTGAGCTCAATTGAAGGGAAACGTGCAAGCAACGCAGGCTTGGGGGCGACCATGAGTCTATGCACCACCAGCGTAACGAGAGCAGTGCTCGATCGCAGTTGGTTGGGAAGGATGGATGGTGTCGCTCCCCTACACGGATTTTTTTGAATGTTGAGGCTGAAAAGCTTGCTAAAGAGGATATACGATCGTTGAGATTTCCGAGGTCAGTCGTAAAGGCACATGCGGGTGGCGGGATCAGCTGACCTCTTGTTGACTTGCATGATCTGTCATGACCAACTGGCGTGCATGAGAGACCCGGGCTTGAGGCAAGGGTTGGACTCCTGCCCATATATCCGGGACCCCATAGAGCAATGTGCTTAGTAAAATTCCAGGGCAAATTGCAGGGGAATTCGACTTGGCATCGGGTCATCTAGATGAGATCCAAAAGCTCTCAGATGATGGGTCAGCACAATTAGATAGTGATGGGGACCCGAACTACCACACGATGCGACATGTTGAGACAGTGAGACAGTCGCAACCTACTTGCACAACAGAAGACTTGAGGTTGGTGGAGCGCCTGGTCGACCATGATTGCACCCTTGCACTTCGAGGGCGTACTAGCAATTTCACTGTTGGGATATTGACCTAGAGGCCCAATACCCGGATCAAGAAAACCCAAGATACCCGGCCCAAGCAACGGGCCCATCACTATATGATAAATAGATCCAGTAAAGAATTCATGCCGAACGAGATTCGGCCCAAATAAAGGTTGGCCCAGTAAGAAGACATACCGAACGGGGTTCGGGCTATATATCATACTTGGGCCAATTTGACAGCGTCTTCAGCATAGTCCAACATCCCGTTCGCGCAACGGACAACCGGCAAGTGGCCAGGTGCAATTAATGCCAGATTATGACATCAGCAAATGGAAACATGGGTGACCAAGTCGGTGGAGCAACATCCAATCAGCACAGGGCAGCCCATGTTCTCTATTAGTATAAATAGAAGGTTTAACATCATTGTAAGGGTTAGCATTTCAATACTCAGGCTCTAGAATAGCATCATTGCTCTTGTTTCTTGTATTAAAGTATTGTTTCCGACCTACCGATCGGGAAATTCCTTGTAATCAGACTGGTTAGTTAATACAAGTGAGCTTTCGAGTATTAGTGGGTTCATATTTTATATTTTGTTTATACACCTTGATTCTGTGTCATTCCTGATATATCCAAAGTTCGTGTTGGGCTTTCGGATCTACGGGATTTACCCTCAACATTGGCGCCGTCTGTGGGAAACTTACAAAAAGTTTCACATTCAAATCATCCAAAAAACCACTATTTTCAAAAATGGTCAGAATCAGCTCCTATCATACAAACGACGGTTCACGCCGTCACGGGATGAGTCACACCTCGGGGAGTCAAAACCCTCAGGGACAATCCAGCCGAGGATCGTATCCTCGTTTTGATGGGGATTTTGTGATTCCCGAATCTCTGAGAAGAAATCCTCAGGCCATGCGAGACATGGCCCAGGTCATGCAGCATATGGCGAAACGAGGAGGAAGGAGGGTCCAACTTTACAGGGGAGACTCCATGCACGGAAACAACTACAGCATCATCCCGTTCGCATGCCCATCGAGATAATCGACGTAGCACCCCACCAACAGCGCACCATAGTCCCAGTGACCGAACCCCGATCGGGTCACAAGCTAGAGGACCAACCCCCATTGGTCATCATTTCCAGAATGTCGAGCGGGAGAATACCAGGGCCCCTCAACGGCATTGGGACCGGGACTATACGGACATGAGGGCTCCACCACCGCCCCCTTTGACGGCCCAGGAGGAAGAAATGGCCGATATGACGAGGAAGATGAATGAGATGCGGGATCAAATGAACAGGGTGCCTGTACAACCTGCCCCAGTTCAGCTGGGAATTACTTCCCCTTTCACCAGGGAACTCATGTACGCAGACATCCAAGGGGGTGCCAAGCCACCGACCGGCCAAATCTATGACGGGGTGGGAGATCCCCATGTGCATTTGAGGAGTTACCAAGGGGGACTCATGCTGCTAGGAGCACCCGAGGCTGCTATTTGCCGGTTGTTTTTTGGTACGCTCAGAGGGCCTGCCCAGGAGTGGTTCGGGACACTCCAACCTGGGTCAATCAACAGTTTCGCCGAATTATCGGCGTTATTCTTGGCCCAGTTTGCTTCCAGTGCCAATCCCAAATTGAAGAGAACCTCAATCAATTCCTGAAAAGATGGAGGGATGAACCTCTGACAGTGGGAAACATGACGGATGATACCGCCATTACCCTGTTCACGAACGCTCTCCGAACAGGGGAGCTATACAAGGATCTGAAGAAAAATCCGGGTACAGCGTACGCCGAGGTATTAGACAGGGCTCGCAAGCATGCCGCCCTAGAAGAGGAGATAATGATCAGGGATAAGGTCATTGCGCCTGCTGCCCCGATCAGAATGGCTGATCGGCATGGTCCTAGCCCAGCGGCCGCTATATCTCCCAAGCAAGGGAGATTTACTCCCCTAGTCCTATCAGTAGCGACCATTTATCAGCACGAGGGGGACAATATTCCCCTCCCGACTGATTCTGGACAGTTTATGGGAGCGGATGACTATGCTTTCTGTAAATATCACAACAGGAAGAGTCATGCCACCAATGCCTGCAGGGCCCTACAAACAGCCATTGAGGATTTGATCCGACGGGGTCATCTGGGCAAGTATGTAAATAAGGATCCAAATGTTGTGGGCACGTTGAAACCGATCAGGAAACCTAATAGCTGGCGTCGGGATGCCCAACGTGATGCCCAGCCTCAAAATGACGTATATGTTCCCCCTAGGGATGAACCAGAGGGCTCAGGAGGCCCTGGAAAGAAACCTCGAATGGAGGTCAAGGTTATATTCGGGGGCGGGGAGACAGGGGATTCGAACGCCGAACGGAAAAGGTTCGAGCGAAGTCTCTATGTGGGATCCATCTCCGCTCCCCCCCAGAAGAAAGGAAGGACGGACCCGATCACGTTCGGGCCAGCTGATTTACCCAACTCTCCAAGCCCGCACATGGATGAACTGGTGGTGAGCATGTGTATTGACAATGCTTTGATCCGCCGAGTACTGGTCGATACCGGGAACAGTGTGAATGTGTTGTATCTACAATCATTCGAAAAAATGGGTCTACAAAGAAGTCAACTGACCCACCTACAGACCCCACTGGCAAGTTTCACCGGTAATTGCATTGAGGCTGAGGGGACCATCCAATTGATGGTTGAAATTGGGGATGAAACGCACAAAGCGTCACTCCGAATGACGTTCGTGGTGGTGGATATAAAGTGTGCCCACAATGCCATATTGGGCCGACCGGGATTGGAAGATCTGGAGGCAATAGCCTCTGTCCGCCACTCATGCATCAAATTCCCCACAGACACTGGGGTTGGGGTGGCCAGAACTGATCCGACGACAGCCCGGACATGTTATCGAGAGGCCCTGAAACAGATGAACACTCGTGGGATGCGGGTTAATACAATTGAGGTGGAAACCCACCGAACGGAGTTCGAGGCACACCCAGAACCCGCCACTCTTCTTGAACAAATCGACCTGGATTCCCCCCCGAACCGTAAGGTAGCTATCGAGGTAGATCTGGAGGCTGACATCCGGGATGGCGTGATTGCCGTCCTAAAAAAGTTTCAGGTATTGTTTGCCCGGGGGCCAGAAGATATGCCCGGTATTGATCCGGAGATAATATGTCACAAACTTGCCGTTCGGCCTGATGCAAAACCAGTCCAGCAGAAGAAACGGTATCAAGCAACCGAACGGCGGGAATTCACAAAGCGGGAGGTGGCCACCTTGCTGAAAATAAAGCACATCCGTCCAGTAATCCACGTAGAATGGCTATCGAATGTGGTTCTAGCCCCAAAACAATCTACTTGGAGAATGTGCGTGGATTACTCGGACCTGAATAAAGCTTGCCTCATGGATCCCTATCCGGTACCGATGATCGATCTGCTAGTAGATGAAACTACCGGATGTGAATTGCTGAGCTTCATGGATGCTTTCCGGGGTTACCATCAGATATTCATGCACCCGGCTGATGCGGAGAAAACGGCGTTCGTTACTTCGGATGGTGTGTTTTGCTATATTGTCATGCCATTCGGATTAAAGAACGCAATGGCAACTTTTCAAAGGATGATCGGGATGTTATTCAAAGAAGTACTGGGGGTCACAATGGAAGCTTATGTTGATGATATCCTGATCAAAAGCAGGAAGAAGGAAAATCATGTCCTGGACATAGAAAAGGTGTTCGGGATAATGCAGAAAGCAAACATGAGGCTGAATCCCAAAAAATGTGTTTTTGCTGTAAGAGGGGGCAAATTTTTGGGATACATGATGAACGAGAAGGGGATTGAGCCCAATCCTGAAAAGGTAAAGGCAATTGTGGATATGGAGGCTCCAAGGAATCTCAAAGAAGTGCAGAGATTGACCGTCGGTTAGCAGCCCTGAGCAGATTCCTATCCAAACTAGCCGATCGAACTATTCCATTTTTCCAGATCATGAAGAAAGCCAACCCTTTTGAATGGACGGCCGAATGCCAAACGGTCTTTGAAGATTTCAAGACATATCTGTCTTCCCCCCTGGTCTTGACAAAACCCGAACCAGGGGAACATCTATATATGTACCTTGTTGTAGCTGACCTGGCCGTGAGCACAGTACTGTTGAAAGAAGAAGATGGCGTTCAACGGCCAATCTATTTTGTAAGCAAGGCTTTGAACGGCCCGGAAACCAGGTACACCTTGCTAGAAAAAACTGTGCTGGCCCTGATAGCTGCCATTAAACGTCTGGCACCATATTTCCAGACCCACCCGGTAACTGTGTATACTACCCAGCCATTAGCCACCATCTTGAGAAATCCTATGGCAAGTGGACGCATTACCAAGTGGAGCCTCCTGATCGGGCAATATGAGGTGGATTTCAAGCCTCGGCCTACTATCAAAGGGCAGGCCCTGGCAGATTTCATTGCAGAATGTACCGCCCGGCCCTCAGAAACAGATTCAGAGAACAATGGGCTGGATAACTGGTGGGAAATGTATGTGGATGGTGCAGCTAGTGCCAAGGGTTGTGGAGCTGGAGCTGTGATCACATCGCCCGAGGGGTTCAAAGCATATTATTCTATCCATTTTGACTTCAAGGTAACCAACAATGAGGCTGAATATGAGGCCCTCATTGCTGGTTTAAAATATGCAAAGGCCCTGGGTGCCGATCGGTTAAAAGTCCGGTCGGATAGTCAATTGTTAGTACATCAAGTAAACGGCACTGCTGAGGCTAAAGAAGAGAGAATGAAGACCTACAAGGAGATAGTTGAGGAGCAAATAAGTAAATTTGAACAGGTGGTGCTCCAGATCGAGGCCATATCTTATGCCGTCCCGAGCTGGGTCATAGATCTGACCAACTACCTGAAAGACGGGACCCTCCCACAAGATAAAAATCCTGCTTATCAGATAAAATGCATCTAGAGGAGGGCTTCCATGTTCGAATTGGTGGACGGGCAGCTGTACAAAAAGACATTTGGTGGGCCGTATCTGAAATGTCTCCCACCCCATCTAGCGGCAGCTGTAATGGAAGAAATTCATGAAGGTATCTGCTCCAGCCACTAAGGGCCTAAGACACTGGCCAGAAAAATCATCCTGCAAGGGCATTATTGGCCGACTATCCAACAGGACTGCTTCGCACATACTAGGAAATGTAAAGTATGCCAACTGTACGCACCGGTCCCCGGACGGCCTGCCACTTTCTACACTCCAATGACGGTGGCCCTTCCGTTCGCGAGATGGGGGATCGACCTGTTAGGTCCTCTACCTACGGCCCTTGGAAACAACAAGTATATCATCGTGGGGATAGATTACTTTACCAAATGGGTAGAGGCCGAGCCACTGGCCAGCATCACAGATGTTAAATGTCAAAAGTTTGTCTGAAAGAATATCATTTGCCGTTTCGGAATCCCTGAGCAGATTGTAACTGATAATGGAAGGCAGTTCGTGAGCCGGAATTTTGAGAACTACCTGGTGAAATGGGGAATCAAGCATTCCAGAGCATCCGTGGCGTACCCTCAGGCGAATGGCCAAGTAGAGAAT